AATTCGATTTTTGAAAAAAAATCACACCAATCTTCTCCTCTTGAAATTAGAACTAGGACTAGCTGAATCACAATTATAAACCGTACCAAATAGCACCGTTCGCCCTCTAAAATACCAGTTTTTTCGGGGCCCTTCGGCCGGCCCCGGACCCCACACCGGGGAGGGGGGGGGGAGGGTCCGAGAGTCGTGGTTTGGCTTTACATCCGCGGCCTGTTTCTTAAAAACCGGACCCCCTTCCCTCTTCAAATAATCCCGGATCCCCCCTGAAGTGTATATCAGGAAAGGTTAGTTAGACTATAATTATACTTATAGCCTGTAACGCCAGCCACCACTGGAGGCAAGTGACTTGTAACTTTAGCGTTGAATATGATAGAGTTGGAATTTATAGGGATTTTAGATGACAAGAAACGGTCAGAGATCCAAAACTGAAGAAATATACGTAAGGAAAGAAGTCCTTATTCACTACCTGGCATATAATAACATTCCTTTCTTCATTTTAATCACTTGAACGAAAAAGAGGAATGAAAAACAAGAGTAGGCCCTATCGCTTAAAAATCTGTTATCTGAGTCACATCGAGCTCTGCATTGTAACTTTTCTCCTTAACAGACACCCCGTGAAACATTTCAGTGCGTTGTTATTAAGATAAAAATCGGCTGTCACACGCTGCAACACGTGTTTATGCTCTTTATTTACCGCAAAGTTTTTTTCACAGCTGGGTCAATTTGGTAAAGTTTGAGACAATAAACATTTACAGTGTATCAACCTGTGCTAGGTTGGATGCTAGGTTGGATGCTAGGTTAGTCCAGTGACCTAGATCTTTATCTAGGTCATAACTTAGCCCTACTTAGATAGGATAAAAAAAAAGATCTTTGAATTTATACAGAGAATGTCAAATAAGTACCGTATCCCTGGCAACCAACACAACGAACTGCTTGGCCTTTAATAGCGCAGCAAAGTTTAGACAAATGATAAAATATTTTTATTTGTGGAATTATAATGTGAAATGTTTTACCTTTATGGCCAATTTTAACTTAATTTATTGATTGAATTGAACAATATTTGATAGAATTATCCAACCGTTTGGTTAGAAGAAAATCTATTCTTGTCTGATCCCATTACTACTTCACAAACTCGGATATGATTCCCGTCTTTAAAAGCAGTTTTAAAAAATAAAAAGATATCGCCCTTAGAAGTGGTTTTCCTTTGTTTAAAAGGGGTTATGTGAAGGGACATATATGGAGAGGCTTACGTGTGACAAATTTGGCAAGAAAAGTGGCACGGATTGCTGTAGTTTTGCAATAAAAGGTCCAAGTTGATGTCGGGATGGCAAATAAAAGTTGTATCGGTGTAAAATCAAAATTCCTTTCTCCGTTTATTTTACTGATAGTGATCAATTGAAGGTTGTCACGTGTTTTCGGCGACTTTCACCAGTCATAAATTGTATTAAAACGTGGTCATGGCGGACGTTAACGATGTCACCGGACGCGCAGACCATGTGGACCAATAGTTACGCTGTCACGGACGCTGACCAGTTACTCCTATCTCTAACGGTAATCAATGTAGGCCAAAATTAAAGGGCCGTGGATGAAAAACGTTTTGGAATGTGGCAGCTTATTTGTGGTCTAGCTCCGTGTTTGTCCAAAATTGGCCAAAACAATCCGATGGTGTTATTGACGAAAATATTTAATGTACATGTAAAATGAGTTGTTAAACGGTTTAAAGTCGCACGGGGTGTTAGAAATAGTTGGATATTGGTAAATGATGACTCATATGCTTCCTGGGGTACATGTAGTTACGAGTATAGAAAAGGGAAATATTGATAAGTATAAAAAATGTATAAGGAAGTTCCGAAAAACATAGGCTATTAATGTAGAAGTGCACATTACGAATGTGAACGAATGTGAGCTTACTGAATCGAAGGAAACTCGATGTCCTGTATGAAATATGAAATACATGTGATTCACAGAATAGAAAAGAGGGGCGGGTTAGTACTCGTGCTGGAGTATAATACTTAAAAGAAGTGCGCGAAATTAAAATCTGAAGATGTATTGATATAATAAGCAATAAATAATAAATGATTTGGGATACATGGGTAAACCTAAATATACTCAAGTTATTAGAGTAACCAATTGCCAAAACATCATCTTATTTAAAAGTTGGGTACATATTGTATATTTAGGTGCTGCCATTGGCGTGGCTGCCTGCGATATCGATGGAGACGGTAAGGAAGAGATTTACTTCCTGAACACAAACGGGGCGTACGGCGGTCAGAGCACGTACAAGGACAAACTGTTCAAGTTCAGGAACGGCATGTACGTGGACCTGTTCTCTGATCCAGTCAACAGTGCCCTAGGAGCAGTTAATTTTGCCGGAAGATCTGTCGCCTGTGTAGACCGCTATGGGACCGGGAAATATGCTTTCGTCTTGGCGGCATACTCGAATGGTGGGTTTAAAACATTTGAAATTGGCGTCCGTTTTTGTTTTTTCGTCATTTTTTTTTCCGTGGGATATATTTTTGTATTCAAATTATATTTCCGCCAAATTATATATTATTACATATTATTAGGATTTGACGAAACGTTTATATTTTGGTATTCATTTTTTCATGTTTAATTTAAAAAATCACATCTTAATAGTCTCCGTTCTAGGAAAGGAATTGTATTTCAGTGTATATTACTGGTTTTCCTATTCTTCTGACACAGATGGGAGGTTCAGAATTTTATTTCATGTATTTTTAATTCTTATGTCTCAAATGGATGCCTAATAATGTTCATAAACATTTCTGTTTAAGGTAACATGGGCGAATTTGCCATGATTGAGATGGACGAGCAACACCCGCAAAACGACAAGACCACGGGTATGATTGTACTAAGGAACGTTGCCAAGGAAGCAGGAATCGACAAGCAAACAGGTAAGTTATTTCTTACTATCGTTCTCTCTGCCCTTCACATTACTGCACTCTTGTGACTGATAAAAAGCTTACGAAAGCAGCATTTTCTTTTGCTAAATGCGGGTGTCGTTGGGGCATCGAAACGGGTCAATTGTTGGCAGATTTTGTTTTATATTATGATTGTAGGGGTTCTATAAATCATTGCCTCATATACCCAAGACTGTTATTAATTCGGCGAGATGACGGTGAACCTGACAAATAAAAAGCAGTGTGATCACTTAATTGTGGGAATAAAATAGTCAATTATGATGTAGCCTGCACGCAAACTAAAAAATTACATGTCTGCAATCTCATTTCTTGCAGGTGGGCGTGGTGTTACCGTGGGACCCATAGTGACTGACAGGTCAGATATGTTCTTTGTGAACGAGGGCGGTAACTTTGGCAACAAGGGAGATAACTTCCTCTTCAGAAACATGGGCAATGGCATGTTTATGGACGTCGCCCCCATGGTCGGTAAGGGAAAGTTGAAAAAACAACATTTTACTTAGTCAGAAAGCTTTCATTTATTTTACTTGTTTTTATTTTTTTATTTTCATGCAGAATCTTGTACTCTGATTTGTTTTAAACAATGACTAGTAAAGATCGACAGTCAGTAAATATGAAAATAGTCTCAGAATTTATAAACGCCAATCATTGTTGACGCAGGTGTGACTGACAGCGACACAAACGGAAGGGGCGTGGCTCTCTCGGACTTCAACCACGACGGTATGCTGGACATCGTGTACGGCAACTGGAACGGCCCGCACAGGCTTTTTATGCAGAGTAACGCCACCGGGATGCCCTCGTTTATGGTAATGTCTAAATCACATGCTCTGATAGCAATAATGAGAAGTAGTATTTTCCTTTAATTTTGCAGCGTTTCAAGAGGTCGGAAATATGGGCTTTCTGAAAATAGTTTTTATTAAATATGAATATAATAAAGGATGTTCTCATTGAGTGTAGTGAAATGCGTTCGGTTTCTTCTCTAATAAAAATTGTTAATTAACGGGATATTTCTTACAGATTTGAAAAAAAAATACGAGGCGAAAAAAAAAACGTAGTCGCACAACATAAAAGACATCTTTTTGTCGTGTCTATGTCAACAACATACCAATTACATCAACACTTAAATTTCATTACAGAATGTTGCCAAGGGAACGTTTGAAGACCCCACCGCCATTCGAACCATGATTGCAGCAGACTTTGACAACGACGGGGATGTGGAGGTTCTTCAGAACAATATTTATTACAATGGACCACAACCAAATAAACTGTTCCGCGTCTCCCCCACGGGCGCCGGTATGAACATAGCCCAGCTGGATATTGGGGACGCCCTGGAGTACTACGGCTTTGGCACAGGTGAACTAATTAGAACTTAGTAAAAGTAAAGAAGAAACTTGCAAAAAAAAAAAAGTGACCTATACTTTACTAATTTCTTTGTCTCATTACTATCGCCTTAAGTTATCGTTTGAACGTAATTATTGCACGTGATTGATGAAATTAATGATTTATCCCATTCCACGATAGGTGGCGCTGTGACCGACCTGGATGGCGACGGCCAACTGGAACTGCTTCTGTCCCACGGGGAGTCAAGCAGGCAGCCTCTGGAGATTTATAATGTCACCATGGGCAGTGACCGTAACTGGATGAGGGTACACGCTTACACCAGGTACGGCGCTCCCGCACGCGGTGCCAAAATAACAGTTGTCGTGGAAGATGGCACCACGAGAACGCGTATCCTGGACGCTGGATCCGGGTACCTTTGCCAGATGGAGCCCGTGGCCCACATTGGTCTCGGGATGAAGAAAGGGGTGCAGTGCCGCATCCAGTGGCCTGATGGGAAGGTACTGGTGCTGCCCCTAGGGGATAAAGATCAGATGGCACCGCATTATGTCCCATATCCCGTCGAGGAGGGAGAGGAAGGGATACCGGAACCAGAGCCAGGGATGGGCTCCATGCCAGAACCGTCTCCTGAGCCGGGCTATATGGGAGGGGACGGCAACAGTATGGGAGACGGTTATTCCACACCAGAACCAGGCTACATGGGAGGCAATTTGGGAAGTGGATCAAGCAATATGGGAAGTGGCTATTCTACACCAGAACCAGGCTACATGGGAGGCAATATGGGAAGTGGATATTCTACACCAGAACCAGGCTATATGGGAGGCAATATGGGAAGTGGATCCAGCAATGTGGGAAGTGGATCAAGTAATATGGGAAGTGGATATTCTACACCAGAACCAGGCTATATGGGAGGCAATATGGGAAGTGGATATTCTACACCTGAACCAGGCTATACGGGAGGCAATATGGGAAGTGGATCAAACAATATGGGAAGCGGATATGCCACACCAGAACCGGGCTATACGGGGGGCAATATGGGAAGTGGATATTCTACACCTGAACCAGGCTATACGGGGGGCAATATGGGAAGTGGATCGAGCAATGTGGGAAGTGGATCAAACAATATGGGGAGTGGATATTCTACACCAGAACCAGACTATATGGGAGGTAATATGGGAAGTGGATCCAGCAATGTGGGAAGTGGATCGAGCAATGTGGGAAGTGGTTCCGGCCTGTACGTGGGCGACAAAGAGGGGATGAAGAATGAAGGAGACGTTCAGACAAATAATGGGAATTATAACACACAACAAGGTACGAATAGACACGAAGAATTATAGCAAATTAGAGTATGCGTTATCGCTCAAATCACTGCCAGTTGTTTGTGATGCTATTTTGCATCTTGGTTTTGCATGCGAAACGTACTATAATTTAGAACATTATCATTATCTCACTATCAGTCACAGAAATTATGGTTTCGAGCTACACTCGTCCCTTCTCCTGCTTACAACTAAATCGCTGAACAAATATCCACTTTGGCTAAGGAAAAGCGAACAATATTGTTGTTTTTCAACATATTTATTACTGATAAAATTTCTAAATTTGATTTCGTTTAAATTATCCAGCATTTTTGCTAATAGAAATTTAACAGTAGAGGAAGGCCAGGTTTCTTACTCACAAAAACTATCTGTGATGTTTTCTTATTGTAGTATGATATGCTTATGTGCGTGGTTATTTATTCATACTGTAGTCAGTTACATCATGAAGAGATATAGAATAGTGCATGTAGTTGATATACCGTTTTCTTTAATGTGGAACTGAATATAAATCTGTTAGATAATCCACAATGTTGGAATGCCTTTAAGTCGTGTGAACTTGAGGTATGTGTCCAAACATTCCGAGAATGGTAGAATATGAATCTCATTATATAAATAAAACTAAATAAATGAATTAATAAACAAGAAAGATTTAAGGCTTAAACACTGGAAAATCACTGTAAAAATTTATGCATTGCTTCAAGGGGCCGGCATGTACACTATTGGCACAGGTTATATGCTGAACCCGGCGATGTCCGCAGGTGAGAACAAAACACTTGGATATCCCGATATCTTACCTGGGGCCTCCCACCTCCCATACTAAAAATTTAAAAAATTAACACTCATGTTCTAATAACACTATTTTTGTACTTATATATATATATATATATATATATATATATATATATATATATATATATATATATATATATATATATATATATGTTTTATATGTTTAACATATAATAGACGCAAAACTGTAGTGAATAGCGCTTAATGTTATGTTGTGGGATCAAATTATAGAGACGATAGATAGATAGATGAGCTCAACAGATAGCGTCGCCCCAGTACGGCGCCATCTTTTAGTCACCGTGCGGGGATTGTAGCGGTCGTTTAGGTGGACTGTGATGACGTTGAAATTAAAATCATAGTAAACGATCTATTCTTACATAGAATATTTTATGTTGATGTCTGAATTGTAATATTATGAAACAGAATACTTACGACCCAGTGAACTCTACTTTACATTAACATACCGAAATAAAACTGGTGTTGGTTTAAATGCAATGATTATAATATTGTTTATCTCACTTTAAGCGCATTTATTGTTTCTTCTTAACAAATTGTATCTCTATGGAGGTGTATCTCAACAGTACCGTACCCTCGTGTTATGATAGTGAACAGTGCCGTATATTAGATATATATATATATATATTGTACATTTCATTTTCAAATAGTATTTTTGAATTGCGGATTACTTTATGCCACATTTAACATGTGATCTAACCACCTCAAATGTCATAACCCGTACACTGATCCAGATGAACATATTTTAATCACTCAAACCTGGAACCAGAATCCACCTCGTCTTTTCGGTGACAGTGATTTGTGCTGACATTTATGATGATAGTTATGCATAGTTACCAATTATCATGTTAATATTGTGGAAAGAGTAAGTTATGTGCATGGTTCTTTGCTGTTGTTATTTTTTCCAGATCTTGGTTGTCGCTGGACTTAAATGAATGGTGCAAATGTTGATATTGTAATAAACTATTTTTGAATTTTCGGCAGTGTTGTTTCTTCTGATAAATTCAGGGTAAATTCACCATCGGGAATAACAGTCCAGTGCCTTCTCTCTTCGTTTAATAATAAAGTGGTTTAATTCTGATGATAAATAAATTGCGTTTCCCTCCAGGTATGTACAATAGATGGTACAGTGGCCGCTGCAGCTTCTATCGCACCGCGTGGAGCACCTGCTCGGTCACGTGCGGTACAGGGAAGTCCTGGCGTTCCTCCAACTACAACTTTGGCTGTGTGATGCAGAGGGAGAGCCGCACGTGTGTCATGCCAGCGTGTCCTGTACCCCAGGTAACAATATGGCCATGGTTGATGCTTGTTTTTCAGACGACACTTCCTAATATAATTTTTCATTAAAATGATAAAATGATTTTATTTCTTTAACTTTCATTCAGACGGATGGGTTTCGTGGCGGAAATTTTTTGTTCGTTTTCAAAATTGTTATATGTAAAAGATGTATTATATTAAGTTTTTTTTTTCAACTCTCAGTTTTTGTTTTCTGATTTCATTCACGTGCTGTGTTAATTAAAAAACAAAACTTATGTTGTTATTGCTGTAGAAACAGTCTTGTTCGACTAAATCTTGGCACACTTTGACTGAATATTTGATGGAAATAATGACCAACAACTAGAAATAATGACCAATAATTAGCTAAAAAATCCATTTTAACAATCCTAAAAACAAAGCCATTTGCTCATTCTTTCTTGACCCCACATTTCAGACCTATTATTACGGCGCATGCGGCACCTCCATGTTTGGCTACCAGACGATAGCTCTGGACGGTTGCCCTAACGTCCGCTACGTGGGTATGAGAACGTGCAACCAGTGTGCTAACACCATGTGCTGCGTCCCCGTCAGTCGCCTGGCCCCGCTCAGGTATATGTGTGACGACGGTACCCTGAAGACCAAGATGGTGTCCCTGAGGCAGTACTGTCAGTGTTGGTGCTAATTTTAGCTGTGATCCGCAGGGTTTATGATATGAGTGGACTTGAATATAGTGATTTAACTTATCAGTGGGCAATCAAACTGCTGAATATTTGAAAGTGGAGGGATTTCAGATTGAAAAGGAGACGTATGCACGCAAGACTATTAACTTTAAAAAAATGGTCTAACTCACATACACGACAACCTCGTACGTTATATTTTCGGAACATTTCTCGAGCCAGGACTGTCGTTAATTCTGAAAACTTAAAACATACAAACTGATCATCTGCTTTACAGAATTGTCAGTGGAAAGTTGTCAGGTTTATTGTTTTAGTAAGACTGAGTCAATATAAATTGTATTAATGTTTCGTTAACGTTGGTGCTACTTGTTATTTTCTTACAAGAGAGGGTGCTATGGAATTATGAGCCTCAGATCAAATAGCGTGTTTTTCAAAATGCCGTATTTTAAAACAATATATTTACAAGTTTTTGTATCCAGTCAGCTTTAATCCACAGGTTTTATTTTTTCATCATCATTTTTGTACATTTCATTGTCATTTTTGGTAACTAGTAGCTTTAGTAATTGTTAAAGTTTAAACGAATTTTACAAACAAATGTGGCTTTTTAGTATTTTTCTACTAATGTTATTTTTTATCTAAATATAAGCAGACTTATGTCTAGTCAGGTAGAAAACATTTCCAATGTTCATAAAAAGTTATGAATATGATCAATAAATATTATACCTTTGAAAGGCATTTGTTTTTAAAAGGGATTCTTCTCATAGGCCTTGGTCTCAAACCATCAGACCGATACAGAAATGGAAGTTCTAGAAATGGAAGTCTGGGTCCCCAAAAAACATGATTTTCGGCTAATTTAGTAAAATTGGGAGAAACATTAACATTGACAGATTTCATTGCTTGATTTCCAAAAGAAGTCAAGCATGCAATATCTTTAAGAATAAAGGTGAATCATTTCAAAGTTTTTTGTACATTATGGTTTTAAGCGGATTAAAACTAATATTCCGCAGATTATTCACAAAATCTTCGACTGATCAATTTCCTTTTTGTCTAAAGTTTTAAGAGAAGAGAGAGAGAGAGAGAGAGAGAGAGAGAGCGAAAAAGTTAGACCGAGACAATGAACTCGCCCAATAAAATTATAAAAAGAAATCAGTAGTCCTGTAATTTTGACAATCTCTCCAACCATGCTTACAATTAATTGAAATTTTCTTGCTAGGTAAAAGAAAGCAACACAAGTCTATGTATTCAACACAGTATTTTATATCTTTCCCAATCAGATGTCGATAACAGCTTTAATGCAGGAGTAAAAATTGTTTAAAAAATACAGAATATTGTATCCTCTTACTTAATGGAAGTAACACAAAGTTAGAAATATGTACTAATCATCAACATTAAATACATTCTTCTTCAAATATCCCCCTTCATCATTCTAGGCCAAATGCCTCAATATTGGTATACTTAATCAGTCTAGTTAGCCGTCTTTTTCCTCTTGAAATACGTCTAGTTAGCCGTCTTTTTCCTCTTGAAATACGTCTAGTTAGTCGTCTTTTTCCTCTTGAAATACGTCGGGGCCGCCTCGTACAGCCACTGTGGGTCCACCACGCTTAAGTTCCTCATATAACACTTACTGGTCTGTACCAGCTCATTGTAAATGACACAGCCCGGCTTCCGCATGAACAGTGAAGAAGATGGGTGAATGACCACCGTTTTCTTAGACGCCACGGTCTTATATACTCCTTCGTGCTGTAACTCCGCAGCGTTTGTGAAAAATCCGTGACAAAGACACTTGCGTATGACCCCCGTGTTTTGTCCGCATGATTTGAATGGGAGTTGAAGGTGCACACATATCTCGCGCAGCTGTTTGCGTATCTGAGACGCCGTCTGCATGTTGCGGGCGTTGATGAAGTTTTCCTGACACCACTGTTTGTCGCCCTTGACGCCTTTGTACGCCCTGTAAACATTCAACAGCGTCAAGTGATCCCCCTCGCTGGAAATAAACTTCTGTCTGGCAGCGTGCGCAGTGTCGCGTTTATTATAAGGCGTGTGGAACACGGACTCCACAGACAACAATGAAACAACAGTCAACATTTCCTCAAGACAATCGAACTCCTTCGCTCCCAGCAGCACGCGAGACAGGCGAGGGTCAAGGGGGAAAGCAGCAAGTTGTCGACCTAACAGAGTTAGCTGGACTTTTTCTTGTTTCTCCACGGCGCCAAGAAGAACCAGTTGGTCCAGAGCCGCCAAGATGGCTTCCGGTCGCGGCTTGTCCATGAAATCAAAATGGACGATATCGGAGATTCCTAACGCCAGAAGCTGCAGTATCACACTGGACAGATTACAGCGCTGTATTTCAGGGATTGTGTTTGTGGAAAACTGTTCGAATTCCTCCTCTGTGTACAATCGATAGCACGTGCCCGGGGCCTCGCGCCCTGCTCTCCCCGTACGCTGCCATGCTTGAGATTTGGAAACCCAGCAAACTTTCAGCATATCCAAGCCGCTATTAGGGTTAAAGATCTTGGCTTTCACCATGCCTGTGTCAACAACAAATTTTATGTTTGGAATGGTTACTGAGGTTTCTGCGATGTTTGTCGCGACGATGACCTTGCGAACGCCCCCTGGTGTCGGCTGAAAGATTCTCATCTGTTGCCCAGTTGGAAGAGCTGCATACATTGGGCAGACGATCATGGGTGCGTATTGCTTGGTTACGTCCTTAACGATATCCCTGAGCGTGTGAACTGCAGACTCGATCTCCTCTTGGCCTGTCAGAAATACCAGGATGTCCTGTCCCAGTGGCGCCTCCTGGTGGATTTGCATGACGGCCACCAGAGCTGAAAAGAGGTAGTCACTTTGGGACTGAACTGAGTATTTTACCTGAATGGGATACTGGCGTCCTTCAAGATAAAATACTGGGGCGCAATCGAAGTACTGAGAAAATTGATCAACATCCATGGTGGCAGACATGACTAATATTTTCAATTGTGGAAGTCCTTTCGCTCGGCGTCGTTTCTGAGCCCCCTTCACAACACCGAAGAGCACGTCTGTGTGGACCGTCCTTTCATGAGCTTCGTCTAATATGACAAAGGAGTAACGCTTCAGTAATGGATCGAGTGTTGACTCACGTAATAACATTCCATCTGTCATAAAGCGTATTTTTGTTGCCTGACAACTGACATCTTCAAATCGTACACAATATCCAACTGTCTGACCCAACTCTGTACCCATTTCTTTCGATACACGCTCAGCAATACTAATGGCAGCCACTCGTCGCGGCTGTGTTATTGCAATGGTGTGGTTGCGGTGCATCCCTGCCTTGTACAGAAACTGTGGGATTTGGGTTGTCTTGCCACAACCAGTCTCTCCAATGATAATAGCAGTGCTGACTTGTTGCACATTTTGCAGCAGTTTCCCCTTGGCAGGAAAAATGGGCAGTTTCTTTCTCTCTTCCAGCAGCTCGTCTCGTGTTGGCTCCACTGAGGTCAGCTTGACCCTCTTGGCTGGCTTTGGAGACCCCAGCACACCCTTGGTACTCATCATTCTGGTTTCCCTAAATAAGAAAGCCACAATTAACATGCATGCATAACCACTATCATATCAAATCAGGTATATATGTGTCAAGGAAGGGTTGACTCACAGGTGAAGGACAAGACAGCATTAATTAAGGTCAAGATTTGTTGATTATGCACTAAGAATTAAACCAGTACTCCGTGATTTTCTTCAATCAACAGAAGATGCAACCACATTCTCTCTGTTATCATTTAGTTGACCTACATATTAGTATGCAATATGCTGTTTTCCAATTTAACATCCCATCTTATGCTTAAGTTATTATATACTTATAATATATATATATATATATATATATATATATTATTTCCCAAACATTTTATGCTTGTTGTTATGTACCTTTACATATACATATGAGATGAATGTCCTAATCTTATATAATTTAGAACGCTTAATTCAAGCGTGGGCTCGAAATAGGACATTATGTTTTAAACTTACTCAGTGGATAACGCAATTCGAAATTCCACGGTTCGTGTCAGATTTACGTGATGTCGCGCAAAGAAAACCCAAGTCCACATAATGACCAGTTTAACGGTTTATTAGTTGATGATCCCTAACTACATGTTCTATACGTGAAGCCTCCAACTTCTAAGCCGTCTCCCATAGCTCCGTCGAGCGGTCACCTTCGAGTCTTCTTCAGTCTCTCCCCTCAATATTATTTCTAGACGTCTTTTATACCTATTTCTTATCTTTAGGTGGATTCTGTGCTGCAGTATTTGGCGGTACATATTAATTTTAATTATTCAAATTGCACACGTCCACTTAAGTTACATAACTACAGGTAAGGCCATAAAACGAGTCGAGTGCACAAGCAATCGACTCTAATCAAATTAATTTACATGTCTGGGAATTATATTTGTGAACACTACATTGTGGACGTTTGTGGTCGTTAATTAGACTCGATTTATTCAGCCCCTAACGCTCCTGTATGAACTTTACATATACTCTGGCGTTTTGGCAAGCTCAATTAACTATGAAAATCATATAGAGGAGTATTAGGATATCTAAATGATATCAAAATCAATTAATATATATATAGGTGCAATGATGTGAGTCCTACGTTTTAGTTCGTACACAAATGGCGAGTATTTGCTTTATATTTACTTTCTTATCTCTTAGCCTGAACAGACCGAATATTTAAATCATACCAACGAAGCAAATGTGTATAATATATACCCATTAAGAGCCCACACGTGTTAAAAACTCACCTTTCCGAACGCTCCCCATGTGCCTCCGCTTCATGTTGCTGCCGGAAGTTGATGTGGCGATTGTAGCGCACCTAGCGTCCTAGGGCATATACTATGCAGTTTTATGCCTTCGCATTTTGCAGCTATCCTATACTAAGAACATGCCATTCCTTCCAAACGACATTATTCTTATAGCATTCTTTAAATTTCTATCAGAAATGTCTTTGAAATTTACATGTGTGTGCTCACTGTGTACTGGGCACAGGGAGCGAATGACGTCACGAGAGCCAATTTTGAGAAAATACAAGCTTGGGCCCTGGATAGGATAAAGTTTATTGATAGCTGTATTAATTGTAAGGTACAGATAATTAAATATTAAGACGTACATGCACATTTAAATAAAATAAAACACCACAAAAATAACCAAATCACTACATGATAATAGAGAGTGAACTTACAACTTTTAAGATAAGATGTTAGCCCGCACAAGGGGGCACATGACAATAGGAGGCGCTGCATGAATTATTGATGGCTTTGTGTCTACGCTTGCAAATAATTCCAAGCTCTGCTTTATTCGTTCCAAATCTTTTTGGTTGGATGTTGGATACGACAGGTTACTAAAAATCTATAATTTATGGATTGCATCTTCTGTAGGACGTGATTACTTTCATAATGTTAATGTATGGACTGGAGGTCGTCGGGAATGCCTCCGTTTAGCTGAACTGCAGACATTTGTTAAAGGGTCTCTTATTTGTCATCTAAGAGAAGATCCAAAGGTTTTGTGTTCCAAGCTTTCAAAATTTTCACCAAAACGGATGTGTTCTACATGTAAAAGATCACGCTGATGCATCATCTGTTCCAATAGCATTATGATACAGCAGTTGACCATGGTAAAATCAGAAAAACATTACTTGTCAGACTAGTGCAATTATGTGAAATAATAATAAGAAAAAAGTGAGAACACCATGAACGAAAACAAATGCCAGTACTGTAATAAAACATTTACTAGAAAAGGATCTTGCTACGAACATGAAAGAATTCATACAGGATGGAAACCATACAAATGCCAGTTCTGGTTCTGTAATAAGAAGTTTACGAAAAGATATAATTGCATTGTTCATGAAAGAACTCACACTGGAGAGAAACCGTTCAAATGCCAGTACTGCGATAAGACATTTACTCGTAAAGAGGCGTGCATTCACCATGAAAAAAGTCACACTGAGGAGAAACCATACAAATGCCAGTACTGTAACAAGACATTTAATATAAAAAATGATTGTGTTGATCATGAAATTATTCACAAAAAAGATAAACCGTGCAAGTGCAAGTTTTGTTACAAGATGTTTGTCAGCAGAAATGAATGTGATCAGCATGAAAAAGATCACACTGATGCATCATCTGTTTTGATAGCACATGGTCAGAATGACATAGAAGTTGATCATGGTAATATTTTAGTCTGTCAGAATAGTGCTGGAATATCACCTCTCATGGTTAAAGGTGAAAATGAAGATTATGGCCATGCAGCGGAACGACCATATCCTGTTGCTTTGTTTAAAAATGTATTTGCTTAGTGTTTTAACCAAGTTTTAAAAATGTTTTAAAATGTGTATTATGATATTATATTATTATGATATTATGATATGGCAATTGGAAGGTAAAAGTGTATTGTATATGTTAGTGTATGGTACCGTAAAACGTAGTTAATTTGAAATAGCACAAC